TGCTTTTCATGAGGAAAGGTGTTTAGAAACCAAGATCCATTGCAGGAGTGCTCATGGCCTGGATGTCCATGCTTTGGACTTTTAGTGAAGTATGAGTTGAGACCTGTTCTTCCTTTTCCAACTGTCCTAGCACTTGTGAATAGGTATTTTTCTTCCTTACCTTACCTTACCTTTCCACTAGGGGTTGAACCCAGGGGCTTCACACTGTGATATACTCCCAGCCCTTTTTTAGTGTTCATTTTTGTTTTGAGACAGTGTCTTACTAATTCACTAAGTTGCCAAGTCTAGGCCTGAACTTGTGGTCTTCCTGCTTCAGCCTCTCAAAGTTCTGGGATTACAGGTGTGCACCACCACACCTGGCTAAAATACAGCCCCAGGTACTTTTCTTTTAATCTTCCCAGTAGGACCAGGGTGTTAAGACAATTGTCCCCATTTTCAGATGGGGAAACAAGTTTAGAGAGGTATGGTACTGTGCTGACAGTCACAGAGCTGATAGATGGCAGAACCAGGACTGCAATCGACTTACTAGATTCCAGAGCCAGGGCTTTTCCCCTTTGCCACAGACATTCAGTTTTCCTGTCTCACAAGTGGTGTGACAGCTATTGTCATCGGACCCCGTGGGTGTGAGCTGGGCAGAATCTCTACCCAGGGAGATGCGGAACCTGTGCAAGGGTAGAGGAGAGCCCTGCAGCAGGATGGGGGCACTGGAACCCAGTGCTTGCACCCTGGCCTGGGTGTGTGTGGCCGGCCCCATCCCCAGGGAAAGCAGGAACCTGGCGGGAGCTGCAGGCTCTCTGGCTTCAGAGTGACTGCCCCTTGGGCTCCACGTTAAAACCGCATTGCGCTGGAGGCCAGTGAATGCCAAGGCCTGAGCTCACACCTGCACTCACCATGGTAACCAGAATCACGGATCCAGCACCTCAGTCACCCTGCCAGCCTTTAGGTTGGCATGACAATCAGGAACTGCTCTTTGGCCTGGGCTGCAGCTGTGAAGAGGTTGGGAGTGGCAGGAGACGCTGTGCCATGGCCTGGTGAGATGCCCATGGCCTCCTGGCAGCCCTGGCTCTCGGCCCTGGTGCAGCACCCATGGGTGAGCCAAGCAGCTGGGAGAAGTGTGGCTGGGGCCCAGGAGCCTGCATGTGTGGACAGGCAGGGAGGGCTGTGGAGGGGAGTCAGGGGCAGTAGCTGCAGGACCAAGGAGCGTTGCTTCCCAGAAGGGGCACAGGAGGGACAAATGGGGGCTGTCCTGTGGACAAGAGGCTGAGTCCTAGTTCCTGCCACGCCCTGAGTTCCTGTCCTGGGCCAGGCTCCCATTTGTGTTTTAATTGTGTAATTACGGGTGCACCTGGGAAGAACAGTTAAGTGGTCCAGGTGAGTGTGAGACTGGAAAGAAGTCTCCTCTTGCTTCTCATACTCCAGTCTGGAGCCCTCTCTGGGGTTGCTCTTTGGGTCACCACGGTAACAGCGCTGGCCACACCAGGGTGTGTCTGTGGTGCCAGGGAACTACCTGTACCCACCAACTCCCCCGTGCCCCGGTGTTGTCTGTGCACGTGTGTGGTCCCCTTTCCTGTGCCACACAGTTCATGCCAGGCACAAAGTGACGGCCACAAACCCGCATCCTCATCTTGTCACCACTGTGCATGGGTATTTGTCCCCTTGCTCAGCAGTATCTCTTGGCTGGCCCCATGCCTTCCTCATGTCAGACTCTGAGCAAGGAGTGGTCAGCAGGGTGCATTTTGGGGTTCCCACCAGTGGCGAGATCGCAGCCCCCAGCTGGTCCCCAGAGCTCCTCCGAATAGCCCAAAGGTCCTTTGGCCCCGGGCAAGGGTAGAGTGGGCCAGGTGGGAGGAGAGGGGTCCAGAGCCACTGTCCCTGCCTTGCAGGAGGTGTTCCGGCAGCACAGGGGGCTGCGGCTCCTGGCCTTGGTGGAGGAGGTGCTACCCCGCCACCGCCGCGGCCACCATGGAGACTGGCACATCTCCCTGAGCAAGCCCAGCGAGAAGGAACAGCACCTCCTGATGACACTGGTGGGCGACCAGGGTGAGCAGGGACGCAGAGGGCCCCCAGGCACTGACTGGAGGAGGTCCCGGTGGGGGGGTGGCCCTGGAGCAGGAGCGGACAGTGGGCACATGGGTGAGAAGGCTCAGAGGTGCCCACCAGGGTCACAGCAGATGGTGGAGATGGGGTGGGGGCCCATGTACCCTGAGGACCCCATGTCATCAGAGCTGGGAGGCGGGTGGGTGAGGCCTGGAGATCCATGGAGGCCCCAGGCAGGGCCACGGCTGTGCTGATGCCAGTGTCTCTGCCCCCAGGGGTGGTGCCCACCCAAGATGTCCTTTCCATGCTGGGTGACATCCGCAGGAGTCTGGAGGAGGTGAGAATGCGGAACCAGGCGAGCCTGGGAGCACACAGCCCTCTGGGAACTCATGTTCTGGGTAGCCGTCTCGGCCTTGTAGGGGAGATGGGGCAGGGGACACTGTAACCATGCAGTGCTTGCATAGGCTGGGATGGAGAGGAGCTGGCCGTGGTGGGGGAGGCTGTCAGGACAGGAGGGACGTGGGAGAAACACCACGAAGGTTATAGGAACCAGAGTGCCCACAAGGTGCCCACTGAGATGTCAGCCAAGTCCCCCGAAAGGCAGTGGCCAAGTCCTCAGTGGGGCCTGAGCAGGGTGGGCAGCAGGGGCACAGGCTGCAAAACGAGGAGACCTGGGTGGGGAAGCTGGGAGCACACAGGCCAGGGTAGGACAGGCTGCACCACTCTGCTGAACTTAGGACTTTGCACTGCTCATGCGCTCTGAGGGACTGCCACAGTGTCCACCAAGATGCCTGTCATACCAGCGGGCCACACTGACCTGCTGTCACTCTTCCTCAACCTTTCGGCTATGCAGTGCTTGACCCCAGGCCACCACCTTGGCTGTCACAGGGATGGGAGCAGGGTGGCTGTGCCCACAGGGCCTCACTTCATCTGTTCTCTAGGGTCTCACGGGGTCATGAGGCTTAGAAGGCACCCTCTGAGTGCTGCTGTGTGGAGCTGGTGCACACAGGGGTGACTGGCTCACAGGCACTGGCGGGGGTGTGCACAGGCCTGCCTGCTTCTTGCCCTGCCCTCCAGGACACTCAGCCCAGACTGTCTGGACAGAGGTCATGCTGGGTTTCTGGAAGTGCAGAGTGGATGATTTAGCAAAGGTATTGGTGGTGACTTTAGCAAGAAAAACAGACCCTTGTTAACTTTAGACCAGAGAAAAGTGCTGGTCAAGGAAGCCATGGCCTTAGAGGCACCCAGTAGCCCAGGACTCTGCATCAGAACCTCCTGCTGCTGTCCAGCCCCGGGTTGCTGCAGCCCTCGGGAGACACCAGGCCTAACACAGGGGTGGGGCAGTGGTGGAGCGCCACAGGGCATCAGTGAGGATTCCAGAGGCACAGGAGGATCCTGGGAGGCCAGCATGGTGCATCCTAGCTCCATCCAGGCAGTGTAAGCCAAGGGGTACATGGTGGCCACAGCAATGCTGGAACCCTCAGCCCATCCCAGGGTGGGAGCCACACCTCAGACCTGACTCGGGAGGCATAGGGCTCACAGCTGTCCCCAGCTCCCTCTTAACTGGAAGGGAGTGGGTGAGGGTCTGCATCTAGGTGGACAGTGACTAGCTGAAGGAGACCAGTCTCCGAGACCAGAGCCACAGCCACGCACTCTGCAGAGGCCATGGTGGGGATGTCAGGGCCTGGGAAGGTGGCCATGGGATGAAGCTTGGAGGCGTCCCTGGGTGGACAAGATGGAGACAGGGTAGAGAGCAACCCTCGGGGAGCACAGGTTCCAGCCCCAAGAGCACCGGGAGCCACCCTGAGCACCTGAGGAGCCCACCACTGAGGGCCAGCCTCTCCCACCCTAGATCGGAATCCAGAACTACTCTATGACCAGCAGCTGCCAGGCGAAGGCCACCCAGGTGCGCAGCGACTATGGGACGCTCTTTGTGGTGCTGGTGATCATCGGTGTCATCTGCTTCATCATCATTGTGCTGGGGCTGCTCTACAACTGCTGGCAGCGCCGGCTGCCCAAGCTCAAGCACGTGGTGAGCCTGGGCAGGGCTAGGGCTGGACAGGAGCCCCGAGAGGGAGCAAAGGTCCTGGGCGCATCGGCAGGCCCTGCTGCTGGCCCCAAGGGTGCCTGAGGTGCAAAGTGAGGGGGTGCTGGCCACATCCATGGGGAGCTAGAGGAGGCCGTGCAGGAAGAGGGGGCAGCGCGGCTGTCAGGGCCCCTGCTGTCTGGATCAGGGGCCAGTGGGAGGGACCAGAAGATGTTTGGGAGGCTGCAGGGACTTCTTGGTGCAAAGGATCATTAAGCAGTCACTCTGCAGACCTTGCATCTGATGCCCTGGGGACCCTGGATCAGGCTTTCCTGGGCCTGCAGCTGCTCTGGTTGGGGCACAGGGTCCAGCCCCCCAAGTGCAGCCCCGCGCCCTGTCCCCACAGTCGCATGGCGAGGAGCTGCGCTTTGTGGAGAACGGCTGCCACGACAACCCCACGCTGGACGTGGCCAGCGACAGCCAGTCGGAGATGCAGGAAAAGCAGCCAAGCCTGAACGGCGGGGCGCTCAATGGACCAGGCAGCTGGAGCGCGCTCATGGGGGGCAAGCGCGACCCCGAGGACTCGGATGTGTTTGAGGAGGACACGCACCTGTGACGCTTGGGACGCGGGTGACCTGCCCGCCACCCCACCCCGCCACGCGCCCGCTCCGGACCCATTAAACCCGCCCGGACCCGGGCACCGCGCCTCTGACTCGTTCTTGCTGGGTGTGGGGCAGGGGGGCCTGGTCCTAGGATAGGAGCCGATCCGTCCTGGAGCGGGCGGGGTCGATCCTTCGAGCAGGCGAGCTCGGGTCCTCAGGCTGGGCTGGATCGTTCCTGGGGTGGGCTCGGTCCTCCGGGCGCCAGGCGCCGCTGCAGAGCCAAGCTGAGCGGGGCGGTGCTGGGGTCGGGCGGGCGGTGTCTCAGCGCGTGTTTACATCCGGCCGGGTCCGCCTCGCAGCTCGAGGTCGCTCGGCTCTGGTCCGAGCGGCCGCGCCATGGACACCAGCGACCTGTTCACCAGCTGCAAGAAGGGGGACGTGGGCCGCGTGCGGTGAGGACCCGGAGGGGCCGGGGCCGCTGGGTGGGGGCGGCAATACGGAGGCTCTGCCGCTGCCGCCGCAAACCTGGCCAGGGTCGCCGCCCCACGGCCCTGGAGCGCTGGGAGCCCCGCGCACTCCACCTCTCCCTGCCTGCCTATTCCCGGCCAGACCCCACTTCAGCCTCCCCAGGGGCCTCCCGGGCTCCGAAGCCGCCCTGGGCTCTTCCAACTCCAGGGCCGCTCAGCTCTCCGGCCGCAGCCGCAGAAGGCTCCCTGGGCTGCCCGCCCCCCGTGACACCCCACCCCTGCGACAGCTCACCTAGCCTGACCCAGTCTCCTGCACCCCACCAGCACCGCCTCTTGGCTTCTGCTCTCTTGATCTGTCTCCTTCTCCCTAGCAGCATCTTAGTGGTTCCCTGCCATTTGCAGCCACTGCCCAGGCTCTGGCTGGAGGAGGAGCCTCATCCCTTGCTGTCCCCAGTGCTGAAAGGCCCAAATCCCAGCCCCCTGGCCCGGGGGTGGGGTAGTGCCAGTGTCCCGAACAGTGCCTTTGCTTCCTTGGTGAGGTGCATCCTCCCTTGCCCGGCTCCTGGGGACCTTCTGACCCCGGCTCTGACCTTGCCACCCAGGTACCTGCTGGAGCAGCGTGACGTGGAGGTGAATGTGCGGGACAAGTGGGACAGCACCCCACTGTGAGTGTGGGGTTGGGGTCTGGGTCTGGGGGTGGGGGGGGTCTGCCCCACCGACAGCTGCCTCCTGTCTTTCCTTCCTTTGCACTCAGGTATTATGCCTGCTTGTGCGGGCATGAGGAGCTGGTGCTCTACCTCCTGGCCAACGGTGAGAGGGTCCCCGGTGTGTGCGGGTGCGTGCGCCTGTGTGCATGCACGTGTGGGTGCACACAGTGCCCTCGTTCCTCTGCCTCGGAGGGATGCTGGGGGTAGGCTAACCTGAGGTATCTGGGAAGAGGTTTCTGGGCTTTGGGCCCTGGTGTGGGGAGCTGAGACAAGAGGCGGGAGATTGGGAACCACTGGGCCCTCCCTGGCCGCAGGCCTGGCCCGCTGACCACTGACCCCACACCCTAGGAGCCCGCTGTGAGGCCAACACCTTCGATGGTGAGCGCTGCCTCTATGGGGCCCTGAGTGATGCCATCCGCCGGGCGCTGCGTGATTACAGGCAGGTCACGGCCTCCTGTAGGAGGCATGACTACTACGACGACTTCTTGCAGCGGTGAGAGGCGAGGAGGGCTGGGGGGGGGTCCGCCATGGGTGTGCACAGGCAGCAGTGCCTGAGGGCTCAGTGAACGCAGGCACAGCTCCCCCTCCGCTGTCCCCAGGCTCCTGGAGCAGGGCATCCACAGCGACGTGGTCTTCGTGGTGCATGGAAAGCGGTTCCGGGCACACCGGTGCATCCTGGGCGCCCGCAGCACCTACTTTGCCAACATGCTTGACACCAAGTGGAAGGGCAAGAGCATGGTGGTCCTCAGGCACCCCCTGGTGTGTCCCTCAGGGTGACAGACACCTACTGTCTGGGACAGCGGGGGTCGTGCCGGCGGCTGCCTCTGACTTCCTGGCTGTCTCTGCCTGCAGATCAACCCCGTGGCCTTCGGGGCCCTGCTGCAGTACCTGTACACAGGTGATGCCCGTGCCAGGGCGGGGAGGGGGGGCCCTGGGGGCCCTGTCTCCTGAACTGCTGTCTCTGAAGTGTGGGGAGGTGGCAGCTGCCTCTGGGATCACCTTGCAGGGTGGTGGGAGAGCCAATCCCACCTGAAACTCAGCCTCCTTCTGTCCCCGGGGCCTTCCGGATGGGGAGACCAAGGTGGCTGGGGTAGGTGGGTGATGACATCTAGGAAGCCCCTTCTCACTGGCCTGATGCCATGCACTACCCCCAGGCCACCTGGACATTGGCGTGGAGCATGTCAGCGACTGTGAGCGCCTGGCTAAGCAGTGCCAGCTGTGGGACCTGCTCAGTGACCTGGAAGCCAAATGCGAGAAGGTTTCTGAGTTTGGTGTGTGCAGGGCCCCAGGGTGAGGGCCATGGCTGGGCCGGGTGGGGCCAACTTCCTCCCTGAGGATGTTGTTGACCCGCAGTGGCGTCCAAGCCGGGCACGTGTGTGAAGGTGCTGACCATCGAGCCCCCGGCCACCGACCCACAGCTGCGGGAAGACATGGCGCTGCTAGCTGACTGTGCCCTGCCCCCTGAGCTTCGTGTGAGTGCAGGGTGGGGCTCCAGTCCTTGGGTGACCCTGGCTGTGCCCCTCTCTCTGGTGAGCAGACTTGACTGGGTCACCTCTCCTTCCCAGGGTGACCTGGGGGAGCTGCCCTTCCCTTGCCCCGATGCCTTCAACAGCTGCCCGGACATCTGCTTCCGTGTGGCTGGTTGCAGCTTCTTCTGCCACAAGGTGCCCGTCCCCTCCCTACTGCCCTGGGCCCTGGGCTGGCTCCTCAGGGCCAGACCCTGGCCCTGGCACTTCCTCAATCCGGCCTCCCCCAGGCCTTCTTCTGTGGCCGCAGTGACTACTTCCGGGCCCTACTGGACGACCACTTCCGAGAGAGTGAGCAGCCCGAGGCCTCAGGGGGGCCCCCGGCTGTCACCCTGCATGGCATCTCGCCCGAGGTCTTCACCCACGTGCTCTACTATGTGTACAGTGACCACACCGAGGTGCGGGCTGGGAGCAATGTCGGACGCATGGTCATGCTTCGGGAGGAAGGGGAAGGCAGGGCAAGGGGTTTCCTTTCTAAAAGCCGCGAGATTGCACCACCGGTTCCTGTGTGTCAAGGTGGGGAGGGGCAACCTCCTGGCATCTGGCCTCAGGATGTCCCTGGCCTCTTGTAGAAGGGGGGCAGTGGTGTCCCTCACCTGTCTGTGTCAGAGCCATGCCCCACCCTTGGCAGGGTCCCCTCCAGTAGTTCTCTTAACAGCCTTTGCCAGAGGCAGATGAGTCTCTGGCCTCCCAGCCAAGGAAACTCAGGCATAGAGCCCCAAAGAGCTGCCCAGGGTCCCACAGCCAGCAGGTCTGAGCCTAGGCCCACACCTACGGGCCTGGGGCTCTGCTACCCCTCTGGCACAAGGATCCCGCTGGGGGCTGGTTGAAGGGAGCCCTGGCTGACCTTGGGGTGCACCCCCACCCTTCTGCCCCAGCTGTCCCCTGAGGCGGCCTATGACGTGCTGAGCGTGGCCGACATGTACCTGCTGCCCGGCCTGAAGCGGCTGTGTGGCCGCAGCCTGGCACAGCTGCTGGATGAAGACAGCGTGGTGGGCGTGTGGCGCGTAGCCAAGCTGTTCCGCCTGGCGCGGCTGGAGGACCAGTGCACCGAGTACATGGCCAAGATCATTGAGAAGGTAGGCTGTGCCCAGCCCAGGGCCGGGGACTGAGGCGCTGCTGCGCACTGAGCCCTCCTGTCCCCAGCTTGTGGAGCGTGAGGACTTTGCCGAGGCGGTGAGGGAGGAGGCGGCAGCTGTGGCAGCCCGGCAGGAGACAGACTCCATTCCGCTGGTGGACGACATCCGCTTCCACGTGGCTAGCACGGTACAGACCTACAGTGCCATTGAGGAAGCGCAGCAGCGGCTGCGGGTCCTGGAGGACCTGCTGGTGTCCATTGGCCTGGACTGCTAAGCCCCGGGGTGTGCATTCATGTGCTTGTGTGCACGCGCACATGTGTGCAGCTGTTCCTGCCTCTCACACATGCATCCCCGGGTGGAGAGGACTCCTTGCCCAGTGTGTCCCTGGGGACCCCTGGGGTCTCCTTGGGACAAGCCTCCTCCCGAAATGCCCAAGCCGGCCAAGCCCTGGCCAAGCACGACTCAGGGAACTGGGCGGGGAGCGCCCCATTCCCGCCTCCCGCCTGTGGGCCCTGGCCAGCTCAGCACTGGCTAGCAGGTACGGCCAGCAGGAGGGGCTGCGCCTTCACGTGGCAATAAAGCTTGTGTTCACTGTGCCCTGAGTCTGTGTTGGGTGCAGCTTGGGGGACAGAGGACACGAGAACCTTGGGTGGGTGGCCCTGGCTTTCCCTCGGCCACCCCCTCAGGTAGTAAGGGGTGGTTGGGTGGCTAGCAGAGGTTGGCAGACCTGGGCATTTGGCCTCTGACTCAGCCTGGCCCAATGCCCTGTTCTCCCTACCTCACTGCCCCTAATGGGCCTGAGGCCTCCTTGGGATCTTCTCTCCTTTTATTTTTCTCACTGCTGGGGTCTGAACCCAAGGCCTCTGGACTGAGGCACATCCCCAGCCCTTTTTATTTTGCTGGCCAACTGTGGTGGCATACACCTGTAATCCCAGCACTCAGGAGGCTGAGGCAGGAGGACTCTGCAAGTTTGAGGCCAACCTGGAATACATAGTGAGACCCTGTCTCAAAAAACCAAAAATTTAAAAGTAAGATTTTCAATTTTGCTGTGTTTCACATGCTGGGCATGAACTTGCAATCCTGCCTCATCTTCCCAGAGTGCTGGATTGATGGCAGGCCCATGTCTCCATGCTCAGTGTCCACTCTGTCTTTGGGCAGTGGCTCACCCCACACTCTCCCACAGCTCCCAGTCTCCGGTGTCTCCCAGCCTGTGTGGACAGTTTGCCCCGTGTGTTGGTGGCATGGGGAAAGGTGCAGGCTCTGCGGTGACCGGCTGGGAGGAGGGTGATGCGTGTGTAGCTAGATGGGAGGGGCCGGCGACCTGTAGCGGCCTGAGATGGGATGAGACAGGAGGGTCTGATGGCCACACCCCAGGCAGCAGCCGGCAGAGTTCTTACGGTGGCTCTGCCGCTCGCTGGTGGGGTGGGGCTGTGAGGACCTGCTTCTGGCCTAGTTCTCACTGAGTTCCTACCCAGGAGCCTCAGCCAGCACCCTGTGACACAGACCCCGGCATGTTTGTCAGACCCGACTGACTTGCGTTTTTGGAACCTCATTCTGGTGGCCCTGGCAGATATAAACCAGGCTAGCGATCTACAGGCCCCAGGTCCCAGCTCGGGCCATGCTCACCTTGGATGTGCCAGGTCAGGAAGGGAGATTTAAATATCAGGAAAAAGCGTTAACTGATCGTGGGTTTCTTTCCATGGGGACAGGGGACCGATGAACTGGCGTGTCCAGCTGCCAGACCCATCTGTGTCTTCGCAGGCTGAGGACAGCATTAGGGAAGGGAGACGTGCCAAGTGGCCCAGTGGGCCTGTGTTCAGGGATGGTCAGCCCTGAGTCACCACCTCAGGTGGGCAGGGACAGCGTTCTCCAGCCACTGTGACACATCACTCATCATTGGTTTGGCTTCTCTGGTGTGGCTCTGGACTTACCACACACGCCCCTACCCGGCCCTTGTTTAGCATCATTCATTCCTGCTTCTGAGGGAAAAAAAGTATTGTTGAATAAATAAAAAATCTTTTCATTATTTATTTTATTGGAAAAGAATATAGGTATTCTGATCCACCTCAAGATACCTGCAAATTTTTCATAGGTAGAAAAACAACTGAGTTGAATAAAGACAAACGAGGAAGGTTTAAAAATGGTGTTGGGTGAAGGTAAGGTGGACTGCCTCCCTCCCAGCAGTGGCAGGTGCAGCATGAAGCCATGGGACTTCATGGTGTAGACCCTGCTCCATTTAAAAGGTCCATAAAGCCAGGTGTGGTGGCACACGCCTGTGATCCCAGTACTCAGGAGGCTGCAGCAGGAGGATTGTCACATGTTCGAGGCCAGCCTGGGCTACATAGCAAGACCCTGTCCCAAAACAAAAATCAAAACAGAAAACCACAAACTAAGTAAATAAAAAATAGGAATTTACTTTTTTACCCATCTTGAATTAGACCCCTCACTCAGGGAAAAGAAAAGGTGACACAGTCTTTGCATATGATTTCCTCTGCCTGGAAAACTCCTGTATAACTCCAGGTCCCTCTCAGGAAACAGGCTGAGGAACGAAAGCAGGGCTGAGGCACCAGAGGTAGCAGCTGGGAGTGAGAGGCCAGGCACTCTGGCATTTCCCTGAGCAGAAAGTTCTCACTACGAGAAAATGGGCTGTGCCGGACACCTTTCTACAGGACCCCGAGGGGACCCTCTCCTGGCTTCCGCACTCCAGGGCCAGGCCTGCCCTGTGCCCTGATGCTGCTGAACCCCTGGTCCAAGGTGAGGGTGGTTTCGATGCAGATCTTGGTTGTTGTCTTGAGATGCGCCCAGGCCCAAGTGGTCCTCCTGTCCCAGCCCCCCAAGTAGCTGGGGCTACAAGGAGGTGCTCCACCCTCAGTGAGAAGAGATTCTTTCCTCCCTCTCTCTCTCTCCCCCCTCCCCTCCCCCTTCCTCCCCCCCACACCCCGGTGCTAGAGCCCAAGGTCTCCCACATGCTGACCACAACTACACCCCGGCCCTTTGCATTTTAACCACTTTTTGTGTCATCTAGTGAGGCTCTTATGAAACTGCTGGGGACTCTTCTGTGTTTGGGCCTCTGGTTTTGTACTGTGGCCGGGCAGCTGCTGTCCCATCTTCCTTCAGCATAGCCCCTGAACCAGATCTTCCGGTGGGGTTGGGTAGAAGCACAGGCGTCCTCCCCGTGCTCTGCAGTCTGGGAGCTCAGCCTGGGTGTGTCCTGCTTTGCCGTCCACTGGTCTGGGGTGGGGACTTCTACGGGATACTGTCCCTGTCCTCAGGCTGGGAAGGTCCCTCAGGCAGTGCTGGCCCTGCCAGCCTCAGCTTACTCATCTATCTAGAGGGATCAGCGCCACCCGCCACCTACAGCGTAACAAGAGGCCCTGTAGCCCTGTGAATTCCCACACTTCTAGGGCAGAGCCCACGCCACCCAGGCACATGGAGACCTGGCTTTCTCTTCCTCCTCAGACTCAGGCTTAGCTGTTACCAATCCTACTGCTTTCGCCTCCACTGTGGCTTTGGTGTCCCCTCTGCCACACGCTGTCAGAGCCAGGCCTCTGCTCTTCCCACAGCTATCGGAGCCCAGCTCCTCCAGGAAGCCCTGCTGTGCCCTGGATGACTTGCACACTGCACCCTGGCCCCACAGCAACCTGTGCTCCCTGATAGCTGAATGCCGCCCCTCGGTTTTCTGCTGGCTCAGGCTCCTTTCCCGGCGCCGCCTTGGCCTAAGCCATGCCTGTCGACTCTAGATATGAGCAGAAACCCTAGATGCAATTTCTGGGATCTGCTGTATCCCTTGAAAGATGTGTGCCGGACACTTTCCTTTCTTCTCTGTCTGTCAGCCAGAATGAGGGCGAAGTGTCTGGAGCTGGACCAGCCGTGTTGGACCATGGGCTGAAGCCAGTGTGCTCAAGACCCCAGGGCAAAGGACCAAGAGGGCCTCTAGGAGAGTGACCAGGGAAGGAGAGAGCCTAGAGCCACTACCCTGTGAGGTGGCCTTGTCTGTGGTGACAGCTCTCAACGTGGTGCTGGTCCCCCATGATGCCATTGTTCCCAGTCAGGTGCTGCTGGAGGCCTGTTTCCTGCCCCTCTGCCCACCTCCTCCTTGCCATCAGTGGCTGGGGAGCTGTGGCTCCAGGCCGGGCTGCTGCCACCAGAGCCCTGATGCTGGCCTGGGGTGGGAGCTCACGGTCCCCTACCCTGGCCACCAACCCTCTCTGAGCCTGGCCGGGTACCTGGCACAGCTGGGTGCCAGGGGGCTGCTGAGTCATGAATGTGCAGGAAGGACATGGGCGCTGGCTGTCTTTGTTTGGGGGGCATGGAGGTGGCACAGGCCCGCTGCCTCCACCAGCCCCCAGCAGGACCCCACCATACCCACGGGGCTCAGAAACACAGATCACAGCTGCAGAGCCCAGCACAGCCCTTGGAGGGGGGCCTGGGCGGTGGTGCAGGTTTTGGGCCCTGAAGCCCAACCTGGGTGTGCAGCCCACCCCCACTCACTCATTCATTCCCTCTCTTCCCTCAAGAGTTTGCCCCTTCGCTCCTTCCTTCCTTCCTTCCTTCCTTCTCTCACTCCCTCATTCACTGCTCCTTCTCCTGCCCCTCCTGGCCCCATCACACAGGTACTGTATTTTGGGGACAGGCTGTGTTCCTTGGGAGGGAGCACACCCCCACGTGGACAAGTAGAGTCCAGCGAGCCCTGCCTTCCAGGCTGGTTCCACCCCACACTGTGAGGACCTGGAGGGGCCCTGTTGTGGGGAGGAACCAGGATTCATCCACACTGCACCAGGCAGGGTTTGTATCGGGCCTGGGCCCGGTCTGGGTAGGGCTTGGCAGGCCCCAGGAGAAGGGCCTGCAGTTCTGTCCGAAGGAGCATTTGTCTATGGGATCAGACCCACGGCAACAGACAGACACAGCCATCACTCCAAAAACATCTGGTTTATTAGGATTAGCTGTGGCGTACACTGATTCCTTTAATAGGTCTAAGCTGATACACGCATTCCCCACAAATAGCATATGTGTAGGGCTGTGGCCGAGCTGTAGTGACAATAAGATTGGTGAATTGCTTGGAAAATCATTGTGATCTTAGTAGGTTCATGTTAGCATGGGCGAGAGAAAGAAAAGTATGAGCCGTACGCCACGCACCCTGGAGCCCATGGTGCCGAGGCCCTGGAACCTGGGAGCTGTGACCCCCGCTACCTGTGGGAGGCCTCTTTTCCTAAAAAGATTGTCAGATCTGGAACCCGTTTCCAAAGAGGACTCACATTGCCTCTGTGCTGAGGGGAAGGAGCAGCATCCACACTGGTGCCAGGGCCCAGGGTCCAGCCCGGGTCCCACTGCCTCTTCTGGCCTCCGCCTTCCATTGCCTGGTCACCGGACCCCTCGCTCCCTGCAATGGCCTGGCTTGGCTGGGCAGAGTCAAGGCCGGCCAGCCTCCCAAAGACAGGCGGGACACTGGGCTCCAGAGGGCTCCAAGGGGCGAGTCAGGCAGGGGTCAAGTTGGCCATGGATGTGGCATGTCCACGTCTCGTCCCCTTGACGGTCCCAATTTTGCATCCCCCATCACATTAATGATTCTGTAGCCAGACACACAGGAGCTAAGCATGTGCATCTGACCAGAGCCCACATAAGCAAATCCCCCTCACTCTTGGACTTCAGGAGTGACATCCCTTCAGTTCATGCATCTCTGGACTGTGGTCATTACACAGCCTCGTCCCTTTGGGAAGGGACACTGCTGTCACGCCTCTGGAGCAGGCCACAGTATCCAGGCCTGGGGACAGTGAGCCCTGGGTGAGTCACAGACCAGAGCCTGGGGTGCCTGGCAGGCTACAGATGGCAGAAACTATCACTAGGCTGCCAGCGGCTGGGTCTGATGGAGCAGGTGGACCCTCCCAGGGCAGGGCACACCCACAGCCCAGGCAGGTGACGATCACTGCCTACAACAGGGTGGCCCACTTGGGACTGTCACTCCAGGGATGGGGAGGGGCCCGGTGAGTTTCGGTAGCCTCACAGAGGACTGCCGAAGTGAGGGTGCCCAGGGCAGGTGGGCCGGGTCCCCTCTTATTGCTGGCGCTAAGTGAGGCCAGGGGCAGGGCCAGGCTGGGGTTGGCACCTGAGAGGGTGGCCAGGCTTGGGCCTTATCTGGAAAGGGTGGCTCACTGGTCTCTGCCCTGGCTGGGTGGCCTAGCATGCTGGGCCACTTCCCTCCTGCTGCCACCAGAGGTAGCTGTGGGGCCAGAACGGTGACTCCAGGCAGTACTGGGCCCCTAAGGGAAGGAAAAGGGAAGGGAAGGCCAGGCTGGACCAGGTCCTCCACCCCTAGGCTGCTGCTCAGCTCCAAGGCCCTCCCAGCCAAACTGGTGAGGACATTCGTGGGTATCAGACAGTCTCGCTTCGTTCCCTCTCATCTCACAGCACCAGGAAGCAGCAGCCCTGGGGCCGAGGGAAGGCTCCAGGCCCAGCGCTCTCTCATGGGTGAGCACTCCCTGCAGCCTGGCCACAACCACCCTGGGGCTGACAGGGTCACGGGCGACCTTGGTGGGGACACAGGCCACCTCATCACCTGCCAGAGCAAGGCCACAGGCCATGGCCAGTCAGAGGGGGCACTGGGGCGGAGCGCAGTAGGGGCAGGTGGAGGTTCTTCTCATTATTGCAGGCTGGCATCCTGGACACAGGGTCCTGGGCACCTGTGGGACTGGGAGAGGCGGGCTAAGGCTGTGTGCGCTTTTTAAAGGACATCGCACCACGTTCCCTCCATGGAGAAATGCTCGTACCTCTCTCCTCTCCCTCTTCCTCTCCTCCTCCTCCCGTATAAAGTGTCGAAGTGTCCACCCCTCAAGGTAGATCCAGTGGCTGCTAGCATTATATATGACAAGAATGTCTCTTTTTTGTTTAAAGTAAATTGTGTTAGGGACTCTGATTCCCGATTTCCTGTTTGGCTCCACCCTCCTCTGTCTCCTGCTTCCCTCGGCCCAGGCCCCAGGCGTGAGGGTCGCCCAGCCCCGGCTCAGGGCGGGCACCTGGCTCCTGTTTCAGCTGTCCTTTGAGAGAACCACATGTTTATCTCATGGAAGACGGAATTGGTCACTTCGGGCAGCTCCTTGTGAAGCATGTGGTAGGCGCCTTCGTAAACCTGCAAGTGGGAGAGGCAGAGTCAGGGCTGTGTACATCAGGGGCTGTGGGGGACTCGGACAGGGAAAGGGATGATTCCCAGGCCCTCTCCTTGTGCCCTGAGCACGTGGCATTCACCTCCCGTCACCACAGGGCCCACACCCCCCATTCTGTTTTCAGACAGGGTCTCCTTATGTTGTCTGGGCTGATCTTGAACTCTTGGACTCAAGGGATCCTCCTGCCTCAGCCTCCTGAGCAGCTGTGACTATAGACGTGCTCCAATGTGCCCAGCTGGGGTAACACATCTCAAGCCACCTTGGACTCTCCCTGGTCCCCAGCAGCTGTCTGTGGCAGGGTCTGTGTGACCTGCTTGTGCCAGGCTGGCGGTCCCTTGATGTTTGCATGCTGTTTGGCTTCTCGCCTTCCAGCAACGCTGCGGCTTTATCCTCACCTGGTTTCTGTCCCACTTACAAGTGGCTCCTGCCACCTTGGTGACCTTGGGGGACTGCTCCGCTGGTCTCACTAGCAACTTCCTCCAGCCCTGGGCCTTGAAGCCTCTTCTGGTGTGGGTGATCCTAGGCTCCTGTCTCCAGCCTGACCTTTCTGCGCGCTCACTGCCTAGTGGCCATCGGCATTCAAGTTTCTCAGGGTGGAGCCCTTGCTAGTCCTCAGCTCTGTCCCTGCCAGGATGACCCAGCTTAGAACAGGGCACCGTGGGCTGCTCCTTCTCGAAAGCTCAGACCCCAGGGCTCATCCTTCAGGGCTCTTTCTGGGGTGCTGAGAAAGGAACCCAGGGCTGTGTACATGCAGGGCAAGCACCCTACACTGAGATATGGCCCCTACTGTTTTTAGATTAGCACATGGATCACCTCAAAGATCTATTATTTCTTTGTGGTGAGAAAACTCATAATTTCTCTCTTCCAGCTATTTGGAAATCTACATGACATCATTACCTGCAGCTCCGTGATTCAGAGCACTAGAACCTACTGCTTCTGCCAACTGGACTTTGTACCTGATACCCAGATCTCTTCAGCCTTCTCCCTCCAACCCTGCCTGGCCCCAGAACCACTCTACTGCCTCAAGATCAGCTTTTTAGCTCCCACATGTGAGAAAACACCGTGTTGCAGATTACATTTAGAGGGCCCCCAGAACCCCTGGTGCTTAGAGTGGAGCCTTCAGTTGGTGACTGGATTATGGGAGCTCATAGCTGCCTGGCTGTTGGAAGGCGGGGCCTGGCTCCAGGAGGCAGGCCTTGGGGTGTGCCCTGGAAGGGCCCATCTCCCTCTCTGGCTCCTTCCTTCTCTCTCTGCTTCCTGTCCACCATGCCATCAGTGGCTCTCCTCCGCCAGGCCCTGGGCCAGGCCACCCTGCCTTTGAGCCAGGCGACTGTGGACTGAAACATGAGTCAAGATGAGCCTCTTCTCCTTGAATTTTCAGGTGTTGGCACTGTGTCTCAGTGACCGGGAGAGAGGCTATGACACAAGAATCTGCCTTTCTGTGCCTGGCTGATGTCACTCAACATGACGCCCCCTGTGCTTCTCCATGGAGCCGCAAATATTTGTTCTTATGGCAGAGCAGGATCCTGCTGTGGGTGTGCATGTTTCCTTTATCCAGACACCTGTCAGCAGACACCGGGTTGGTTCCATTTCTTGGTCACTGTGAACAGCACGCTAGGAGTCTTTTCCTTTGGATGTACACCTAGGAGTGCAATGGCCAGGCTGTGGGGCAGTTCTGGCATGTGCATGTGCACACGCGTGTGCATGTGCTGCTGGGGAAGAAACCCAGTGCATCCCTACCACTCTGCCTCTGAGCTACAGCCTAGCCCTGCTTTTATTTTTCAGACACCTCTGTCCTGTTGTCCAGCATGCTGGATCCTTCGTCACAAGGTCCCAGTACCACCTTCCTGTGCTCACCCCAGGCCAAACAACCTCCTTTTAGCCTGAGTGACGGCACAGTGTCCCACGGGGTCTCGCTGCCTACCCTCCTGTCGTCATCCCCAGAACTTGTCACTTGCTGCTCAGACCCAGAGAGGAAGTCAACTTCTCCGGGGCCGCTCTGCCTGGCTGCTCAGCGCCCACCTGCCCCAAGCTGCTGCAGAGGGTGCTGGGCTCCCATGCATCCTCAGGGATCAGATGTGACACTGTCTGGGGAGATTCGTTTGCCCAGTCCCCGGGCTGTGTGTCCTTTTCTTCCCTGTGCCATTTTCTGAAGTTCTGTTTCTACCCTGAGCCTCAGGCATGCGAAATGACCAGCTAAGGGCAGCATGCTCAGCCCCAGGATCCTTGTGTCTGCCTGCCAGCTGCACCCTGCTGGTCCCAGCAGGGGACCCTGCAGGCTGGGGAGGTGGCCAGGGATGCCCAGGAGGGTGGTCACTCACCTTGAGTGTCTTGTCCTGGCTCTTGGCCCCATCCATGAGCAAGTAGGCCCCTTTGTTGTCACACAGGTGGTCATCGGAGCCCTGGAGCAGCAGGAAGGGCAGGGTCAGCTTGGGCATCCCCCGCTCCACCCTCGACACGGCATTCAGCAGCTGGGTGCAAAAGGACACTTTCAACCCTCCATGGTAGACAAGAGGGTCCGAGTTGTAATTCTCAACCTGGGGTGGAAAAGAGGGGTTGTGTCAGTGCATGGTGGGGTTCCCTTCGCTAGGCTCAGACCTGGTTTCTGGGACCTTTTTGTTTTTGGTTTTTGGAGATAGAATCTCGCTATGTAATCCAGGCTGGCCTTGAACTCACTCTGTAGCCCAGGCTGGCCTTGAACTCATAGCGATCCTCCTGAATTAGCCTCCTGAGTGCTGGGGTTACAGGTGTGTGTCACCATGCTCAGCTTTTCTGGGAGCTCCTCCTCAGGATTGAGTCCTTTCGAGTCTTCTAGTCTGGCACAGGGCTACCAAGGGCTATCAGCCTGTTCAGCCCACCTATGACCCAGATCTGACCTACTGGCCTCTCCAAGCTGGTTCCAGGACCCCAGAGGGCAACAAGTCCAAGGATCCCCAAGCCCCTCATGCAAAATGGCCTTGTAATTGCATATAGCCTACAAACACCATCAACTTAGTTTAGATCATTTCCACACAATATATCATACCCTGGACAGTGCAAACACTATGCAGCTGTACTGTTCAGGGAAAATGGCAAGAGAAAGTCAAGTTGAATCCTTGGATTTGAAACATAAGTGTACTGAGGGGTGTGTATGTAGGCCTGTAGAAAGTTTGGAGTATTAATTTTTGTTTAAAAAATATTCACAGCATCATATTGTTCACCTTGATGATTTTACCCCAAAGTAGCTCTGAAGGTTTTCTTTTTCTTTTTATTCTTTGCAGTACTAGGGATTCAACCCAGGGCCTTCACACTCATCTATATCCTGAGCCCTATTTTTATTTTTAATTTTGAGACAGGGTCTTGCTAAGTCGCTAAGTTGCCCAAGTGGGACTCAAACTTGCACTCTTCCTGCCTCAACCTCCTAGAGTGCTGGTCTGAAGGTATTCCCCTGTTTTATTTTGTTTTCTGTCTGTCCTCCATCTTGACTTGGTGTCTGCCTGGTGGAAGTGGGTGAGGGCACATAGTAAGCACAGGTGCACTGGGCTGATAGGAGAAACCCCCAAGGGTCCCTGCTCCATGGCTTCAGGACAAGGGAAGCCCAAGGACAGGCCTGGGGTCATGCCCAGGCCATTTCTGCCCCTCCACAGGATGTGCCCAAGCAGTGTCCTCCCTCCTTAGTCACCAGCCTACCTCCCACCAACCCCTTCTGGAGGCTCAGGACCTGGCCCACTCCTCAGTGCCATGCTGGGACCCTGATTCCATGCTCCCGGGATTCTCTGGGTTTCTGGCTTCACTGGGCAGCCATATGGACAACTCGGGCTCATTGCTCAATTGGTGGGCCGAGACAGCCTACTGCCCCACAGGGTCTGGGGGAGAAATTTCTAGAAGTCTCCCAGGCTACCTCAGGGGAGGGCATGAGGCCAATCATCCTCTGCTCCCCCCCAACCCTCACTGATGGGTTTGGGGCAGGCTGGGGACCTGACATGGGGTGTGGTCCAGGGAGGGGATGAGGTACAGGGCCCCCTGGGCTTCCTTTAGAGTCCTGAAGGTTGGGCCACACTCCCTCTGCACCTAGCCCCACTGGGCCCAGGCCAGAGCTCCCGACCTACACTGAGAAGGAACAGGTTGTCCTGCGGCCACCCTGCCATTCTGGACTCTATCCCATGCTGGGGGCTGAGCACCACAGAGCAGTCCATTTGTGAAGCCACACGAGACGGATTAGGCACTTCCTGCAGCTGAGCTGGCATCAGGCCACAGGGCCAGGCCATCTGCTCACAGGCTAAGGGGACACAAGAACAGCAGGCAGTGCAGGGGCAGTGTGGGGACAGTCACCCAGGGCCAGCTCTCCTTCAGGATGGAGAGCTGTGTGGTGCACAAGATGGTTGGTAATAAGAGCAATAGTGGGGACAGCACTGTGTGCCAGCACAGTGGCAGGGCATTCTGTCCAGGATCTTCTAAGTAATAAAAATAAGAACAGCAGACATGTGAGCTTTGGTTACATGCACTGCACTGTTTATATGCTTGGTAACTCATTTAACTCTCACAACTCCCTCAAGAGAGGCACTATAGATGAGGAAACTGAGGCCCAAAGAGACTTGACAATCTGCCTGCTATCAGTCACCCTAATTCCTATTCTCTGTAGAACCCTGGATATTCATTTAAGTACACAGCTTACCAAAGACATTTCCCAGCCTCCCTTGCAGCTATGTATGATCATCTGACTGTGTTCTGGCCAATAAGGGGTGAGCAGAAGAACTAGGTACATACTCTCTGTCAAAAGCTTGTGGGAGAGAGATGGGCCAAGTGGACACCTAGAAGTACTGAGCCACAAGACAGTGTCATGGCATTGACAAGTCACCAGCCAAAGAATTGAGCCCTGTCCTGTGTAAGGTGCTACATCTGGGACTCAACAGACTCATAGATCCCCTGGCCAACCCCACCTGTACATGCTGTTTCTATACCCGGTCTCCTCCAGGACTCTGCAAAGGAGCGACTCCCTGGCCTGCTGTGATGTGTCCTCTGACCACTCACTTCCTGAAGCTGGCCTAATACTTTGCCCTGCTGACCTGGAGCAACAGGCCCCTTGGGGGCATCTGCTCTGGCACACACTGCTCTGCTGCCCTGGCGGGTTCCTGTCCTTGGCTTCCTCTTCCACATCTCAAGCACATATGCTCTGTTTGCACAATGACCTATTCTGAGCCAGGGGAAGGAGATACCAGATATGTTGGGGAAAGGGCAGGTGTTGATGTAAATCACAGCCACAGCCCTAAGTGAGGGCAGAAGGAAACACACGAGGAGGGCAGAGAGCTGAGCCACATGGGGAAGTGGACACTGAGAGCCCAAACCCTGCCCTCCACCCCAGTCACAGCCACCTTCCAGTTTTGAGGGCTTAGGGTGGAAAACACCAACAGTCCTAGGAATAGGTTCTGTTCTGTGGTCCCTAGGAAGGAGATGGCCAGGCACCCCTCAGCTCCTGCCAGGTGACCCATCAACAAAACAAGTTACAGGTCCATTCAAAAGCAAAGAGCAGGAAGTTGTCTTCCAAGGTTAATTACTGTCTGATTCCATTTACAGCCCCTCTCCCCAACTTGGAGTACTGAGGATGAAGCCCAAGCCCTTGTGGATGCTAGGCAAGTTGCCTACCACTGAGCTACATCCCCAATCCTTCTTAAAATTTTGAGACAGGGTCTCACTAAATTGCCTAGGCTGGCCTTGAACTCATGATCCTCCTGCCTCAGCCTCCCAAGCAGCTGGGATTACAGGCATGCACTATCACACCCAGGTTTTTTTTGTTTTTTTTTTCCCTGCAGAGGTACAGATGCACCAGCGGTCCCCTTTGTCCCTACATGGTGAAAGCCTAGGAGTGGACTTTATTTTTTCCAGTACTGGGGATTAACCCTAGGAGCCTCTGCACTGAGCTGCATTCCTGGCCCTTTTTTCTGTTTTTAAATTTTGAGACAAGGTCTTGCTAAGGTAATAAGTTGCCCAGGCTGGGCTAGAACGCATGACCCTCCTGTTTCAGCCTCCCACAGTGCTAGGATCACAGGCCACCACGCTCGCCTGAATGGAACTTTTGGTCTCTGGATATGGCCAAAACGTTGGTTCCATTTCCCCATGAAGCCTTTTTTTGGTTAAACAGCTTTGATTTGAGTTTCTGTCACTTGCGGCCGCAAGAGGCCCAACTGACACACACAGCTTCTTCCGATTCTCTGCGCGTTTAGGTCACAGCAGACTTTCCACCCGGCCCCACAGCTGAGACACAGCCTCCTGCTTCTCCAGGTCCCTGTCACCTCGGGGCTCCCAGCGTTTGAAGCACGCTCACCTCCTCCCTGTTCCGAGACAGTATGTTGAAGTCGACTGCGCCCAGGGACAGGTTGGGCAGGACCAGGTTGAGCACTTTCGCAGCGAGGACCTAGGCAAGAAGCAGAAGAGCAGGGTGAGTCGGGACCCATGTGGCCTTCTCCTGAGTGAGTCTGCAGGGAGTGATGGGAGCGGATCCCCAGCTGCCCCGCAGCCAGGCTGCTTTCCCCGCTGAACGTTCAGACACTTCTGACTCAGCCAACCTCAACCTCACTCTCTGGGCTCCGCTCCACATGGGGAGTAGGCGAGGCCGCCTCACAGCGAGTCAGGAATGTCTTGCCTATTTTTTGTTTATTTTTTTGAGACAGGGTCTCATAGCCCAGGCTGGCCTTGAACTCATGGCTGTCCTCCTGCCTCAGCCTCCTGAATGCTGGGATTACAAGCAAGCGCCACCACACCCAGCTGTGACTGTGTCTATTTTTGGCCTGCTGTGGATTCCGTGCGGCCACTCTCCCTGCAATTCCTCCTCAGTTGTGTGAATCTGAATAGTTTGTGCATGTACACAGCCGTTTCTCTAGGGTCCTAAAAACAGACAGCAGGGCAGAATCATTTGGATCATTGGTGGTGAGTGAGAAAGTGGGAAGCTCAGGTCAGAGAATCCTGATTCGCAGCCAGAGCAGCAGACAAAGGCGACCGGACTGGACTAGCTTTTCGGCCCAGCGGTGTCGTGAAGGAGGAGGCAGGCCCTCAGCATCACTGCCTCTGTGTTTCCTAAGCTGCCAGTGAGACCTTGTCACCCCCCCCAGGGACCCAGGGAAGGCTAGTGACACCTGCACATGGAAGTCCAGTGCACAGCGGGAGCTCAGTGCATGCTGACTGTGGGCTGAGGGTCATGTTGGGCCCTGGCTTCCATCCCCAGCACCGTATACAACACTCAGTGGCCTTGAACCAGACTCACTCCATGCCCTGCCCCACGTTTCCTTCTGGCTCTTGTGTGATCCCAGGAAAACAGAACTGGATGTCACACATCTGCCTTGGAGAGAGGCTGCCTGCTCTTCTGCACCCATGTGCAAAAACTTGCGGTCAGAAGTTGCTATTTCCAAAGTGAACTGTGAGGTGTTGGAATTAGCAGCACACGGCAGGCTCCAAGTGAAGGGTTGCAACACATCAAGGGCCTTGGAGGAGGGCGGAGGTACCCATACCACCCGGGGGCTTTCTCTATTAGGGCCTGGGCTTCTGATCTTTATAAAAATCCCTCGAGGCTCAGCTCTGTCTTCATTTAATGATGAGGAACTGGAGGCCTGGCTACCTGTGTGCACAGGAGGGGACAGGAGCTGTGGGCAGGTGAGGCTACCCCTTTCCTGGATTTGCCCCCGGGCCTCTCCCTCCCTCCCTCTATGTCACTTGTGTCCCACTGTCTCTCGGTCTCTTTCCATCTCTGTGAGTGTCCTTGAGACCTCTGATCTTTCCTCAGGACCTCCCCCAACCTCCCTTTGGACCCTTGGGGCTTCTCAGGCCCCTGGGGACCAGGCAAAGAGCACATTATGGCTTGGCTCTGCAGGACCCCACATGCACACCCCTCACCAATGCCATGTGGCCAACTCTGCCTTCCACAGGTGGTAAATGTCAGTGATTCCCTTCTGGTACCAGGGCAGTATCCCTGCCCCTGCAGGGACAGGGTTGAGGTTGCACCCTGACCTTGGTGCCCAGCCAAGCAAACCCCTTTCTGCCAGGGCCCAAGACAGCCCCCTGCGGAATTCCCAGGGGAGCCCCATGGCAGGGAAGTGGTGCACCAGGTATACCCAGAGTTTCAGAGCCAGGGCAGCTCCATGCCCAGGGATGGAAAGGGGGCTCAGCCATCACGACAGGTCATAAAGGTCAGGGAATTTTGGAAGCTGGATCACATGTCTGTGCAATCAAAGAACTGGTGCTCCTCTGGGAACTTAAGCCCTGCAGTGGGGACCCATTCACTTAAAAGTTAAAAATGAATCTAAAACTGAAGAAAAATGTCACTAGACTCTGCGTGCATGAGGAAGGATGTCCCAGGGACACTTCCAGAGCAATGGGGGCCCCAGGGCAACATCACAAGGACAAAATCATAAGGTGTATTCTGAGGTTACAGAGGACCGACTTACAGGTATTGTGCTGCTCTTCCCTCCTCCTGCATCGACGCAGGGACTGGGGGTGACTGGGTTTACCCCTGGCAGGCTCAGGAGCCACGACAAGCCCACACATGGTAGGGAGTCCTTCGTGCAAATGCCAGTCACCCTCTCCCTGTCCCGTCTGCCTGCCCCAACCAGGACACAGTGTGTTCCCACAAGCCAGCCCTATCCATCCCCAGAGGAGAGACCACACGCCAAGATCACATAGCATCCAGTCCTGCCATGCAAGCCCGCCATGAGCTCTCTCCATTTGCCGAACTGGTAAGTTCTGGTGGCCTTCACCCAGCTCTGGGCACCGGAGAGACACACTCACCCCGTGTCCTGTTTCAACACAAGGGGCCAGGTGAAGGGCTGCCGACTTGAGGCCACAAGGACTCTTGCATGGTGGCAGTCGTGCCTGGTGCCCCAACAGGCTTGGCTGGGGGTAGCGGGTTCAGGATGGGCAAAGGCACCTACAAGGTTGACTCATCACACCAGACAAAGGAGGGTACGGGCGTCCTAGCAACGAGTCTGGCTGTTCAGCCAAGTGCAGATGAGGGCACAGCCCCACAGGCGTGCACACCCTTGTTGGTGTCTGCATGCACAGCCACATCCTGGCTCTGAGCCCCAGGATCCACATGAGGACAGAGAGGGCTCAGCACAGAGATGCTGCTGGAGCCCTGGGCAGCTATGTGCACAGCTGTCCTGTGGCCTCCCTGCTCCAAGCATGGCCCTCAGGCCAGCAGCAAGCTGCCCTTTTGAAGGAGTCGCCCTATGAGAAGTTCAGACAGCTCTAACCTTCAGCTCTCTTTCTAAACAGGCCAATCCCAAGTCCCATTTCTAACAAGACTCCACTAGGCAAAGGCTCAAAAAGAAAAAAAGAACAGGTGCTTAATCTCTTCCCCCACTAAAAAGCCAGGAAAGAGGGGTGAACTATAACATAGGGGTAGGATGGTCTGAGCAGCTGTAAGAGATTCTCTTTCCCACCTCCTGTTCTGCGCCTCCAGACTAGCCTTGAATTTTTGATTCTCCTGCTTCAGCCTCCCAAGTAGCTGGGATCATAAACATGGGCCCCGATGGTTCTCAGGTTTGTTGATTTCATAATTGAGGAGAGGCGCAGGATGGGGGAGGAAGACGGGAGCAGAGCTGAGGCTAGGGGTGGAAAGCAGAGGGGAAGACAGGAACCACAGCCAAGCCCCAACCAGGGCCAAGAGAGGCTGTTTGAGGTGGACCAGATGGCTGTGTCAGGGAGGTCAGCTACGCCTCCCTGAGCTGGGATTGCTCACTGAGACTGGAGGTGGGGTTAAGATCATTATACCACCTGCCCCTTCTGGAGTTTAGCCACCATGTGGCCTTTGTTGTGAGGTTGTGGCCCTCATGTCTTCCTTTAGTGAGCACACTGAGAGCCGGGGTTGGGTCGCCGGGGTTGGATTGCTCTGTGGCTGCACAAAGTTGACTGCCCATGAAGGCACCAGAAGGAGGGGACCTCACCGTGATGACGCCCATCTGGGGCTCCTCACCCCTAAGCAGGCTCCAAGGCTCTCTCCACACCTGGCAGGTGCCAAAGCTTTTAAGGACCTTCAGCAAAGTCGTGTCTGACTGCACTTCCAGCAAGCCCACCTGTTGGTAGAAGGTGAGGATTCCGAGCCCTCTTCCGGGGCAGCACTCTGGCCAGGGACCAGGGTGGGGACAGCCACCTGTCCCTATGTCACCTAAGCCACCCATAGCAGGGATCCTGGGTCACAACAGACTTTCTTGGGAGGACAGATACCCTCAGGGCAGGTGTGCGGTAGACAGGCCTCGTGTCTTTCCCACCAAGCCTCCCAGAGCAGGGCTCTAAGTGCTCTGCAGGGACTTGCTGGGTGGACAACTTGTCCCTCCAGTCACGTGTCTGGAAACATGAGCCCCAGCTCTGAGTGAGCAGGTGAATTCTCTGCTGCAGCTCCTGGTCACTGCCACTCGGGCCAGCTCACGGTCACAGCTGAGTTCCAGGCTCTGGGGGCGAAATCCAACTTCAGTTTGAGGGATGGTGAGAGCCTCTGCCTCTGGATTCCATGACTAACGAGGACATGTGACTTTCACAGGAGAAGTAGGCCGGGTCAAGGGGGAAGCTGACCCCGGCCATGTTTGGGGGTGAGAGGGCATCCAGTGCTCACTGCCCCCAGGCAACCCCAGGGGTCTCATTTCCTTGTCTGGGTATGGAATCCTTTCCTCTATGTGCAGGGTGTGCACAAGGAGGACTGGGCTCCTTGTGCTCACCTCCTTGCCACCTTGGTGAAGTGCAGGCTTGGCTGGGAGCAGAGGCCTTGCACAAGACCAGGTGGCTCCTATGTCCCTGCCCAGGACCCCAGAGGATGGCTGAAAAGGTCAAGTACAATGACTGTCATCCAGGCAGCAAGCCCAGCCCCCAATCTCTGCCTGGGGCATTTTTGTTTCCCTTGAGGGTCCCAGAAAAAGAAGGGCGTGACCAGCTGCCTTACAGTCCTGAGAGACCTCCCTGACAAGCACAGGTCAGGGGACATGAATCCACTTTGCCAACAGCTGAGGTGGGGCCCATGGGATTTCTGTTCCTAAATCTGTTGCTGCCACTTTCTCTGTGAAACCACTTCCCCAGTGCTGCAGTGTCTGGGGCACCAAGCTCTGTCCTTATTGTGTCCTTCTCCGGGCTAAATATATCTCAGCTTGTTGAAAACCAGCCTCAGCTAAGAAGCAGATGGTGGCAGATTTGGGGGGTGGGAGGAGTTGGTATCCTCCCGTCCCCATACCAGTGGTGAGGAACTGCTCAACTCCTGAGTGCCTGTCTGCGCTCAAAGACTTGGGGTCTCACGCTGCCCACCAGAGTCACCCTGATGGTCTGGTGGACAAGGACACATGCTAGGGAGCCCTGTGTCTCTGAGTGTCACAGCAGCAACCGCTGGAATGACCGGAAGTTTACCATCAGGGACCTTACTTACAGCAGGCCCTGTCCCTTCAAGGAGACCCTGTGCCAGTCTGGAGGGCGAAGGAGCACCAAGAGGTATAGCTAAGCAAGATGACACAATAAAACCAGAAAAATAAACAGGCCCACCAAAAGAACCAAGGAAGAATGACCCAAGAGTTCAAAGACCCTTGACTATACTCACAAATTATTCTTAAACTTTTTAAATCAAAACCTTTTTTAGCAAAAGATCTTATGACACTCTTTCAAGGAGGTTGTTAGAAAACCCAAGAATTCGGGGAGGGTCACTGTGACCCCAGGGCAGGCTGTGACCCTGGGACACCCAAAATTGCAGTGGGCAGGAGCAGGAACAGATTCCAGGGTGGGAGGTGGCCCTCAGCTCCAGGGCACAGGGAAATCTAATTTGTCTCGGTTAATAAGAAGATACCTGTGTTCCCCCAGGGGTGACCAGCTCTTGATTTGACAAGGTGATCTATTAGCACTGGCTCTGAAAGGTCACAGTGCCCAGAAGTGTTGCCTTGCCGGTCAGCGTACGGCCCTGGGGGACTCTGGGAAGAAACCCTGTCGGCCCCACCCCTAGGCACAGCTGCTGTGGTCCCCTGCACTTTATCTGAAAAGCCCTCTGGTCCTGGCTTTTCTCTAAGGGACAACACAACATCATTTGCTTCTCCGTGGACATATCTTCCATGCACAGCCAGCAGCCCATGCAGGAGTGACATCTGCCACACAGCGGTATCAAGCCTTGTGCCTGGCACACTTTGTGGTCCTCAAACATCCAGCCACAAGGTGCAGGGGAAGGCCCTCCTCTCCACCACCATCCCGCCAGCCTGAGGGATGCTGCCTCCTTCTGCGCTTCACATCTGTTCTTGAGGGGAGAGGTCCAGTGGGTCCCACCTCCCTCACATATTTAACGATGAAGCAGTGGGCAGTGTATAGTGTGCAAGGCCCAGGGACCTTGATTGTCCTGTGACAACCTCCACTGCTGTCCCGCACAGGGCTGAGACTGACTGCTGACGCTCAGTGCCACATGCTCATGGGGACTCCTGTCACAGGGAGTGAAATCTGTGGAGCCGATGAATGAAGGGCATCGCTGTCCTCTGGTTCCACTCCTGGATGGTCCCAGGGGTCTTTTTTCCCAGCCCACCCCCATCTCAGCTCACCACCTTTCTGTGTTACACACAGGAAGCGTCACTGGGGTCAGGATCAGGTGGGGTGGGCTGGAGGAAACTCCCGAGCAAGGGCCTCAGTATCATTCCCTGCCCTCTGCTCCACTGTGCAGGTCCAGAGAATCACCCCGGGAATGTGGGGGGGCTAATACCTATTTATTTATATTTCGGATTTTTGAAGACAGGGTCTCATTATGTAATTCAAGGTGGCCTTGAATTTACTGTACTATATACTCCAAGCTGGCCTTGAACTTGAGGCAATCCTCCTGCCTCAGCCTCTTTAGAGCTGGGATTATAGGTGTGCCTCACTGTGCCCAGTTTAATGCCATTATTTAATATGCAATCCCACCCACTGTCATTTGGTGGCAGGCTATAGGGTAGGCCTGTGGGCCACCATCTCCTGCCCCCTTTGAGAGTCCCGAGACCTCTGCTTGGGTCTGGAGGAGAGGGACGTTCCTTGGGGACACGAGCTGGGACTGTCACCTTTCAGAGCTACATGGCATCCACTATTAGGCTTCATGGCAGCAAGGACAGATCTATACTGACGCTATGTCAGTAGCCCACGAAGGGGCCGGGGATTTAGCTCAGTGGTTTCGCCGCCTGCTGCGCAAGCACAAGGACCCGAGTTCGATCCCTGGTACCAAAAAAAAAAAATAGGAGGAGCCCTACGGACCTCTGCCCTCTTTGCCTTCCTGGGCCAGGTGGCACCTGAGGTCGTTTTGGGGATTATCGCTGGCTCAGAGCTATGATGAGAGGGCCCCGAACATGGAGTGTTGTCCTCGGATAACACGAGGAGTGTCAGCCCCAGATAAACCTCACAGCATAGCCGACAGCCTCCCGGGTTGCAGTGCCCGCTTCTCAGCTGCGGCAGAAGCGTCGCCAGCCCTGCTCCCTCGCCACCTCCTGGCAGGCTGGCACACAGCTCCAGTCAGCGTGTGACCCTCAGCGGGTGTGGCCTCTCTGGACGTGTAACCTTTCCTCTCTTAAACTCACCATCAAAACATGCACAAACAGGAAGGGCTTTTTCTTGTGTCTTTGGGGGGAAATGAGCCTGACTTTTGGAATGGAGCCCAGCAGTAACAATGCCTGATCCCTGTCCAAACTTTCAAACAATATCCATGACATCCGGGCCCTGGCTCTGGCCCTTTGGCTCCCACACCAACTATAAATGGAAGCTGTGTGTCCCCGGGGGCCCTACAGGGGTGGTCAGACCAAAACACCCTTTACCTTGAAAGTGGTTGCAGATTCTGGACTGGGGAGGACCAGAGGTGCAATGAGGGCCATGCCGGCGAAGTGGCCGGGCCTCTCGGCAGCTGCGAGGATGGCGATGGCTCCGCCCTGCAAGGCAAGCCAGGCACAAGTGTCTCACCGGCACGTCTGCGAAGCCCCATGTCTCTCCTGGTCAGGAGCCCGAGGACGGCTACCTTGGCATGGACGCCGTCAAATGTTGGACAAACTAGATCTGAAGTTATTTTATCGTGCCTTTTTCCCTCTCTGGGTTTTCTAAGAGGAAACATTTCGGAGGACTATAAATAAGGCTCCTGCCCGTGGGCTGCGAGTTAAACAATGACACAGTCCTTTTTCATTTCGAGCCAAAAGCTGGCCGGGCAGGGGTTCATCCATTCTGAGTTTCATATGAGATTTCTGGGTGAGGAACGGGCCAGGGGTAGAGTGGTAAAATTCAATCATAATAAAGGCCCCGGAAATGCAGTTTCCAAGAAAAGTACTTAGCGACTGTGGACGGTGAGGGAGGAGGGAGGACTTGGCTGTTGGGAGCTCAAAGGTAATTAAATCCCAGGGTAGGACCTCAGATGCTCACAGGGCCAAGCGAGGAAGAGACACAGAGCAGCAGAGGCTGGCAGTGATGAGGGGACAAGAACCCTCCCTGGTGAAATGTCCCCAGCCATTCACCTCCTAGAAGTTCCCAATCCCCCGCCAAATGGTCAGCTCTGTGGGCTGATCTGGCCCAGCTTGAGGGCCCCTGATTTCATGATTTAACCTGGTTGATTCCTGGGAGATTCTGCAGATTTGCACAGTGAAGAGGCTTTTGAGTGGCTTTAAGGAATGGCTTCCCCAGGGGTCCTGTGAAATGGCACCACGGGGCCAAAGGGGACAGACACAGAGTGGCAGTGCCCAGGTCCTCTGGGGCTGCCTCCAGGAACTGGCCCATGTCCTGAGCAGTGAGGCACCTGGAAATCCAAGGGCAGGGTGTGTAGACAGCAGAGGCGGGAGAAAGCCAGAGCACACCACACCCCAGGACCCCATGAGGCCAGGCCCCAGGGATCATCTGAACCAGGTCTCCAGTGTCTGCTTACCATAGAGTGGCCCAGCAGGAAGACTGGCAGGCCGGGATAGTCCTTCTGCATGGTGTCCACATGATGCAGCACGTCCCTGACAAAGATCTGGAAGTCAGACACCACCAACCTCTCCCCATCACTCCGACCATGGCCAACTGGAAAGGAATGGGAAACAGCCACAGGGTCATCCACCAGCTCTTAGTGTAACATCTCATTTAACCCTTGCCCACCACCATGAATGTTGCAATTCTTGCCTGCTCCTTTTACGGATTAGGAAATCAAGGCACAGAATAGTTAAGGAAGTTGCTCGAGATCACACAGCGGGGGAGCACACAAGGGTGCAAACATTCCAAAGCCTGTCTACTCAGCCACATCCTCTGGGTGTAATGTCCAAAGGAAAAAGAAAACAGGCACACAGATGGCCCGGCACACAGCTTCTGTGGCCGAGGACACCTGTGTGAGGCTCAGTGCCTTCTTGGGCTTCCTTGGCCCTCACGCCTCATAGCCAGGCCACTACTGGCCTTTACCAAGTAGAGCTAAGTCTGTCATCTCCCTTGTGGCTTTAGGTGAATATCGTGTGACAAACTCAAAGTAAAATGCGACGGCCACGCGTGCCTGCCAGGAATCTTCTCAACGGAGCAGCAATAATATTAGGTCACGCGCTGGCCCTCTGGATTTTTGTTTTATTTGTCACATTTCTGCATTATTCACTTCCCCTCTGTTCCTCCCTTAGGGTCCCTCCATGCTTCCCCTTTGGGAAGGATATCATCACTATGGAAACCACTGGCTTGGCCAGGTGATGGTGCGAAAGCTGTAGAAGCAGGAAGAGCTTCCATAGGGCTGGATGGGGGCCTGCTGTCCCTTCTGCCAGAGGTCCTGGAGTAACAATAGTGCTCCTCTGACAGCAGAAAGGGGTGAGGGAGTCTCAGGCCTGGAACCTTCCAGCTGCCCAGACCCCGCTGGAAACCCCCCTGGGGCCAGACCCCAAACTCTGGTTTCCCACAGGTTTAAGTATGAAGCATCCCCCAAAGACTCAAGGGCAGAGCTCAGCCCTCAATGCAGCAGTATCCACAGGGGCCTGGACAAGTGGCTGGATCCTGAGGGCCTTCACCTCACAGTGGATTAACCACTGGTGGGTTCATGGTGATGGGCTATTGGGAAGTGGTAACTCCTTGGAGGAAGTGGGTCCCAGGGCTGGGCCTCTGAGGGCTCTATCACATCCCCATCCCTTCCTCCCCGCCTTTTTCCTTTCTCTCTGCTTCCTGGTCGCCATGAGGTGAGCAGCCTTCCTCCATGCCCTTATGATGCTTCTGCCTCACACTGGCATAGGAGCAGTGGAGCCAGCTACCATGGACTCAAACTTCTGAAACCGTCAACTGAGTCAAATCTATCCTCCCAGAAGTCATAGCAGGGCATGTGGTCCCAATGATGAAAAACTGACTGAGATACCTCCTAGCTCTCTCTGTTTTCTCTGTTTCCTTTCCTTAGAAGACTTCTGCACTTCTATATTTTTTATTAAAAATGAATTTTAGAAGATAATTCCCTCACATGATTCAAATGTCAAAGTGGTACACAAGGTAGACACTGAGTGGTCTCCTTCCCAATTCTTCCTCTTCTATTCTCTCCCTCTCATCTTTCTCTTTGTGTGTCTGCCTCTGGACAAACAAACATAGACATCAACGCAGGTGCCCAGCCCTGAGTTATTCTATTTTTTTTTTTTTTTTGGTACCGGGGATCGAACTCGGGTCCTTGCGCTTGCAAGGCAGGCAGTGGAACCATTGAGCTAAATCCCCGGCCCTGTTATTCTATTTTCTAAAGCAGCAGTTTGCCCAGAGTGGCTCCATTTTGAGCACAAGTGCCAAGTTACAGTGACCCTACACCTTGCCTGCACAAGTAACGACCACTACCTGCCCAGTATAGCCACAATGCACAAACTGATAAAGAACTTATTCACACCAATAAAAAACTAACATCGCCAGGCGTGGTGGCATGAACCTGTAATCCCAGTACTTGGGAGGTTGAGGCAGGAGGATCACTGCCAGTTTGAGACCAGTCTGGGCTACACAGTGAGACCCTGTCTCAGGAGGAAAAAAAATGGAACTTAGGAACTTATCAAATTAGAAGAGGAGCACACGGATACACAGGCACAGCAAATGATTCCAGAGAAACCAGACCTGGAGCTTATCAAACACACCAGCTAGAAGGCCTTATCTAGGCTTCTAAAGGAGGGGCTCCCCAGACTGGGCGGCAGCATGGGGCACCTCTGCCTCGTCAGCTGTCACAAGCCTCACCCAGGAAATTGGCAAATGATGGACTTTTGGCTCTCTGTCCCTGGCTTCCTTCCTGCCTGTGACACAAAGCCTCTTTGACACTGCCTGCTCCCTAGACCTGAGCCCCAGGGCAGGGCTGAGCCAGAGCTGCTCCTCCCCATCAGCCACCGCGTGATGCTTTGGCATGGGACTGCTTCTCTGCCTTTGGCCTCCTGAAATCCCCTGGTGGCCTTGAACCTTTTCCTCGCCATTCTGTGACTGTATGCCACTGTGTGAAGTGTGATGCTGACATGCCTGTTACAGACATTAGTTTTGTTTTGTTTGTGGTACCAGGGATCAAACCTGGGTCCTTGCGCTTGTGAGGCAGGCAGCGGACAGACATTAGTAATCAAGACTGGAACGGACTGATTGCCATGGTCACAAAGAAACCAAGTGAAGCCAAGTCCCCAGTGAATTAAAGCTGATGAAACTGATGGAGCATCTGCATTTACTGCCACTCAACAATTCTGACATGGGAGAAAGACACGAAGGCACCTGTCTGTTACCACACAGCTCATTCAACACCCTCTTCAACACAAAATCACCTGCAACACATCCTGATCCGCATCTCACTTTGTCACCTGATGAAAGATCCTGAAGATTTTGCGGTGTGTGAAATCAAGCTCCTAGCCAGCTTTTTCATCAACATTTTCATTGCAAAAATTTCAAATGCACAAAAGAATATTTCCGGGCCGGTGATTTAGTTCAGTGGTTCTGCCGCCTGCCTTGCAAATGCAAGGACCCAAGTTTGATCCCCGGTACCAAAAAAAAAAAAAAAAAAAGAAAATTTCCTGGAAGAATATTCCTGTAAACATCCATATGCTTACTACCTGTATTCAAAAGTTACGCTTTTATCTTTATTTTCTGTATGTATGCACATTTATAAAGATAAAGATGAATGACTCATGTAAAAATAAGTTGTAGAGGTTTCTTGTTTTTTGAGACAAGGCCTCACCACGTAGTCTAGGCTGGCCTTGAACTCACTATGTAGTCTAGGCTGGCCTCAAACTCCTGGTGATCCTCCTGCCTCAGCCTCCCGAGTGCAAGGACTACAGGGGTGTGCCACCATGCCCTGCCCCAAACCTTTCTAGGCTCCTTGTCTAGGGTTCCTTCTTTGCACTCCTTTGTCACTTGCAGGAGCTGAGACCCTTGCCGCCATTTAACTTGTACCAGCCTCTTAGCCAATCTCCCTGCAGCTGCCCAACCCTCCACACACTCCCACCTCCTCTCCCCAGCTGCTGTGATCCTGGCCACACTTCCCCTTTGTTTCCCAACACTGCCCAGATTCCAGCTCAGCATCCTTGGGCCCTGCTGACAGCTCCCAGGGGCGCCTCCTCTCTCTGAATCACACATTCCAGGCTCTGCACACATCTACATGCCCTGGCCAGCACCTCTGAGCCGAGGGCCCTTTGTCCGGACGCCCTCGCCCTGTAGGGGCTGGAGTGAAACCCCTGGGGCCTCTCACCGCCTCAGCCCTACCAGCTGCTGCACCCCGCCCAAGGCCGGTTTCCCTTCCACACCCTCAGGCCCTTCCTGTGCTGTCACAGTGAGCTGCTCAGAGCCCTCTCTTTCCTCTGGCCAGCAGGAGGTCCCCGAGTTCCTCACAGTCCAGAGGACTCTGGGTTTGGCTGGACCAGGGCCAGGACTGCATCTAGGTATCCTCTCGATCTGATTCCCTGCACAAGCCTGGGGGTGGCAGGTGTTCCATGAATGACTCGAACAATGGCCACTCACCAGCGATTGAGCTCCATGACTCTAGCGATAGGTGAAGCCATGCATCACCTCTATGAAGCGGTAATTCTGCATAAGCACTGAAAGTCACTCTTCTTGTTACAAGAACACCCCTGCTCCACAGACTTTTTTTTTTTTTTTTTTTTTTTTTCTGAGAAAGTGTTTCACTGTGTAGCTCAGGCTGCCCTTGAACTCACTATGTAGCCCAGGCTGGCCTCGAACTTGCAGCAATCCTCCTGCCTCAGCCTCCCAAGTACTAGGATTACAGGTGTGTACCACATGTCCAACTTTGCTCCATATACTTTAATCCAACATATTTTACATGTTGTTTATCCTGATTTCTCTATTATTAGTCATGCATATTATTATTATCATTAAGTGAGTCTTGTGCCAGGGATTTAGCTCAGCAGTGCCTCACCTGCCTCACAAGCATGGTACTGCTTCCCTCCTCAGGGCTACACACAAAAGGAGGCCATACGGGTGACAACATTATGGTGATTCTTGGGGTCTTTAAGGCCTTAGGGACCTTTTCTGTTTCATTTTCTGAGACAAGGCCTTGCTATGTAGCCCAGGCTGGCCTTGAACGTGGCAATCCTGCTGCCTCAGCCTCCCTTGTGCTGGGATAACAGGTGTGCACCACCACACCCAGCTCCCTGGGGACGTCCTTCCATCCTGCACCTCTGTTAGGTGCCTGCTGTATGCTGGCTGGTGTTGGGTGTGGCACACATGGAGATCCATGAAACATGGGTGTGGCCCTGGGGGCAGATGTGCATGCAGAACCAAAAATGTGCTCTAACTTCATGGGGAGGTCTGAGCATCAGCACATCCTTCCCAACACAGCGGGTGATCATTCCATGTCTCCGTTATTATACGGCAGATGGCGGAGGGCACCTTTTTGCCATTATGGTTCTTGGTTTCCTGATAAAAACCTCACAGGAAGCCATCTACTGGGTCTGAAGAGCATGCAGATCAACTCACATGTTTCTTCCCCCTTGTCTGCTTGCTTCTGTTTCTTTTCTCTCCACAGTGCTGGAGTGGAACCAGCAGCCTTGCCCCCCATTGTGCTCTCAGCCCCTCTTCCCCTCTGGCAACCCATTTCTTTACCTTGAGTGGGG